TAAAGTTTGTCATTTGTCATTAATGAGCCGTGCTTTTTTTTTTTTGGCAATTGAGGAGGAAGGATTCAAAATTAGAAAATTTGATACATTAAAAAAAGATTACTCACAGAACAGTCATCTATTTCATGACTTCCATCAAAAGAAAAAAATCATCCCTTTTACGGCAAGCTTTTGGGATGCTGCAAACATTTTGAACTATCTGCTTCAATTAGTGGTTATTATTGACCATTCAGATGTCTTGCTTCAATTAGTGGTTATTATTGACCATTCAGATGTCTTGCTTCAATTAGTGGTTATTGTTGACCTTTCAGATGTCTTGCTTCAATTAGTAGTTATTGTTGACCATTCAGATGTCTTGCTTCAATTAGTGGTTATTATTGGCCATGCAGATGTCTTGCTTCAATTAGTAGTTATTGTTGACCTTTCAGATGTCTTGCTTCAATTAGTAGTTATTGTTGACCTTTCAGATGTCTTGCTTCAATTAGTGGTTATTGTTGACCATGCAGATGTCTTGCTTCAATTAGTGGTTATTATTGGCCATGCAGATGTCTTGCTTCAATTAGTAGTTATTGTTGACCTTTCAGATGTCTTGCTTAAATTAATGGTTATTATTGACCATTCAGATGTCTTGCTTCAATTAGTGGTTATTATTGACCATTCAGATGTCTTGCTTCAATTAGTGGTTATTATTGACCATTCAGATGTCTTGCTTCAATTAGTAGTTATTGTTGACCTTTCAGATGTCTTGCTTCAATTAGTAGTTATTGTTGACCTTTCAGATGTCTTGCTTCAATTAGTGGTTATTATTGACCATTCAGATGTCTTGCTTCAATTAGTGGTTATTATTGACCATTCAGATGTCTTGCTTCAATTAGTGGTTATTATTGACCATTCAGATGTCTTGATTAGGTGTTTCCCTGTAATTACAGTGTGATTTTAATGAAGCTTACTTGTACATTTTGTGGAAGGTTTTCATGGTTGTTTTGTTTTTTTTTTTTCGCTTTGTTGAAGACAGTTAGTTTGTTTTTCATACTGACCTGCAGCAACACTTACGATATCAAAATGAAAGTTCTCTCTTTTTTTTTTTTAAAAAAAAGGTAGAATATTTTCTGTGTAGAATCCTGTACTGTATATATTTTGTTTTCAGATATAATGATAATGAAAAGAACTGAATGTGATAAAAGTTTATATGAATAGCTCTGAGCAGGGTTATAAGCTGGTACACCTGTGGTAAGGGATCAGAAATAGTAAGATATTGAACCATCAGTTCACTTGTGTTCCACTATAGCTTTGTGAGTACTGTATAGATTTTATAAAGCTGAGTTGTGTAACATGTACCTTGTTTACACAAGGTTTCCGTTTCAATGGTGTTTCCCTCAGTGAGTGAGTTTCAAGCAGTTTTCAATAAACTCAATACCAAACAAGGTATTTCTGTGTATACTTGTGTACCCTATTCTAAAAGCCATGTGAACTTGGGTCATTCATTAAACCAGAACTGTATCACAGGTTTCCACATATCAACCTTTACTGTCTGGTGCTGTTTTATGAAATGGTTTTGGTATGATGAAAAATTAGGAAAACAGTGATTATGTGAAGATTTGTAAGTGAACTTTTATATGGAGTTTAATGTGTTAAAAATAAAAGTGGATTAATTAGTAGTACCTTTGAATATTAAGAATTAATACTGAGTACGGGGTAGGTATAAGCTCTGTCCTGTCTGATCTGTAAACACTTGATATTTATTGTGATACCCATGTTGAAGTTTTAGATGCTGAGAATGACATTATTTTTCATTCACAACTGTGTACCATATATGTCCAACTATAAACCCAGGAACCAACATTGTCATGAAGTTGGGCTTATTACAGGGCGATGAGATACCCTTGTTTTAAAGCAAGCTGTATGTATGGACGTTTTATTAAGCATTGGATTTTTGCCAAATGAATATAGACATAGCTCACTGAAATTTGGCAAGGAATGCAAGGTATTTATTGAAACTGAAATTGACCATTGACATGAATCAAAATTCAACTTATATTCAGATATAGATGACCCATATTTTGAAAAAATGAGCTAAATTTAACAGGGATGAGCATAATTCATATCAAACAGTCTGATCATTGATAATATACTTCAAGAAGTATTTTAAATTACTATATCAAATGAAACCAGAGATGGACATTTAGCCTATGAAATAAAGAGGAGGTCAGAAATGAGCATTGGATTTATTCTAGAAATTGATATATATAGACCATGGTATTGTTAGGATAATAAGATATATTGATCACAATTGTGCTTGTACTTGGAGATTGGTGAGTGGGTGACGCGAGGTGGGGACATCGGTAACTTGGGGTGGAGACAATATAGATTAAGCATGGTTAAGGTGAAGAGAGAGTCACTGTCACTCAGTTCCATCCTTTTAAATACCCTATTCAAAAAGTCTTGCTGATTTTATGAAAGATAAAATTCGGCAAGGATCTAGTGACTAGAATGGGTCCCTAATTGCGCTCGGTAATTACCCATGATTTTGTGTTGACGGCCTAGAATACGAAACTTGATACCAATCAATGAGGTGCATACAGTGCATTTATAGATCAGTATTGGAAATATGGTTTTCCCGTGTTTCTAAAATCTCAGCTAATTGGGCTCGTCAGCTATGTTTAAGGTGCATTATAATTAATTTTGATTGTTAATGTGAAGAATATCTTAACCGTGTATATTTGTGTTGGGAGCTAGGACACATTTACAGCATGCACTTTGGGTGCAGTTATATTATAAATAGATGACATTATAATTTCAACTAATTCAACTATGTTGAGCATTGTCAAATAAAATCGTAATCTTCTTGGCATGAGTGTGCAGAGATAGAAAAGAAGATAATAAATGTACTAAGAATCATTAGTTGATCTTTATCGAAAGGATTTGGTGATAAGCATTAGGCTGTATGTGGACTGGCATGATGTTGAGTAAATAGGGTACAAACTATATATCTCTTTAAACTGTTACTTTGTTTTTAATGCCTCTTTATGACCAGCAAGAGGTTGGAGTTGTTAATATTTATGAGGGATTACAACTGTGATATTAAAGACAATTTATGAAGGATTATAAGTTCAAATTAGATTTTGTGTCAGAGATAAGTTTGTTGTTGAAACAATTTATTTCTGTGTGTCTGCTTAAGTCATGTGTTTCATGGTGTCCTCTTTTGAGGTCCAAGTAGATATGTTTATAATCTTCCATATATTAGGTGTGTTATTACACATTAAACACATCTTTTTTTCAATTAGAAATAATTTCATACTGTGGGGTGGTACGTTTGTTATAAATTTGGACCATTTTGGGGATTTTTTTAACAGTAAAATTATAATTTTTATCATGAAGAGTTGCCTTGACGATTTATAGTTTTTTCATTACAGAAGAATTTTTTGTCTGTTTCTTTGACATACAGGGCTATTTATCCCCCTTCTTTTATCATTGTAATATGTAAAGAGTTTAATGCTAATATATTAATGAATTGTATAAAATTTTGCAAAATTAAAATGTCATCATGGTTATTTCTACAGGGGGTTAATTTTGCAGCTTCAGAAGGCAGACTGCAGACTTGGGAGTGTACCTTCACATATCTTATGTATACCTTGATATGTTGTAATATGTCTGTCACAAATTCATGAACATGAGGAAATTATGTAGCAGTGCATTTAGTGTGAAATTCCCCCAAATGTAAATCTACATATATAGTAATTAAAGATAATTTTTGCAAAATTATTGGTTATATTACTCCAACGGCTTCAATTTTCCTATATAAAATGTGAACTGTGAACTACAGTGAAATCCATGCACACATTTCCACCTGTCAAGAAATACATCTCTTTTTGATAAATGACCAAACTTACCTATAAAATGATTAAACTCTCTGACCTCTAAATTGTGTAGTTTTAATGGTGAACATTAGTCACAGTGCCAGGCATTAGACATAGTAATGTTACTTTGGAAATTTAAGTTGTCTCCCCTGTTGAACTGGATAGGCAACATGTGGGATTTTTTATGCTAATAAATATTGCAAGAGTGACAACTAGATGGAACAAAAGTTATATAACACTATTCTTAGGTTTTGAGTTTCGCACATAAACAAGGATTTGATCTTTTGTAATTTTATTGTTTTGGGCTTAAAATGTAATAAATATTTTTATGGGTGAGTAGTTTGGTCTTAAATAACTTGTAAATTTGCCATAAATGTTTTCAAAGACAATTTTAAAACCTGGTCGTAATGGATCATGACATTACTGTGAAGCTTGTCCTTCTAATCTCTAGAATTATCATTGTCAATGGATACTATCATATTCAGTTGAATACCTATGGTTTTTTACGATCATCTAGTTTCAACATTTGAAATGTTTTGGTGTGACATGAATGAGGATATCTGTGTAATCCTGCATCATTGATGTAATAAAAAGTGTCATAGCTTGCTCTGTATATAAATATAAACAAAAGGTGAATTTTTATGGAATTTATGTGTGATTTAGCAAATTTTTGATAGATTTGAATTTAATTATATATGAACTTAAAAGTTTTTAAACCAGAAGGTAACACATTATTCAGATTTATTAAAATTGCCAACATTACTTTTTTAAGCATTCCTGTTATTTATGATTGGATTATCTCCTTGATAGAATAAAGAGTTTTTAATGGACATTGTATCTGTTATTGTTACTTTTTGACAGTTTTGCATACACCAGAAATACACTGACCTGATCTACCATTATTGATTTTGAATAGATAATTTGAATTCATTTCTTTTTTAAGTGTCCTCTCCATTACCTATGAACAAGCTGTATTTATCTTACAAGTCCAGGGATCCAACATACGTATTCTTACCCAGAATCATGGGGTGGGCTTATTGCGGGATAGTAGCTAATTACCAGGTAACCATGTTGAATTAATTGTGAAATTGACTCATTATATAATGATCAGAAGTATTGAATAGCTTTTTTTGTGTTTTGCAGCCGTGCCATACAAAAGAATCAGGATCTTCGTCCAGAGACGCCGATACTCAATGTGATGTACGATGACTTCTGGGGGACACCGTTAACACACAGTGGATCTCACAAGTCCTATCGACCATTATGCGTCCTGTCTTTCCGTCTCAACTACTTCCTTGGGGAACTAAACCCATGGGGTTATCACCTAGGAAATGTTATTTTACATGTCATAGTGACGGCAGTGTTCACACATTTTGCGAGGATATTCCTGCGACACCACATCCCAACACTTGCTGCAGGACTTTTATTCGCATGCCACCCCATCCATGTTGAAGCAGTTGCAGGAGTGGTGGGAAGGGCAGATGTAGGAGCATGCCTTTTTTTTCTCCTGGCCATCTTGGCTTATGTCAAGTATGTTCATCACAGGGAAGTGGGGAACAGTCGTGAAAAATATGCCTGGTTCGGACTGGCAGCCCTATCAACAACAGCTAGTATGCTAACTAAGGAGCAAGGTGTTATGGTGATTGCAGTGTGTGCATCATATGACTTATTTATCTATCATAAAGTAAAGTTGCAGGATATTGTCACATTTAAATGGGTGAGTTTGTCATTCTTGTTCATCATAACTTACAGTCTAATTATGGAGTTTCTGCAAAAGTACAATCACATTGTCATTTATAGTACATGTAACGAGAGACTCAACAATTCTCAAACAAAAAAGAAGCAAAATCTTAAAACTAAGTTTTCAAAGAAATTTAAATCATATGAATATGTTTGAAAAAAATAAAGAATGCAAAAGTATATGTGTAATGTGAAAAGTCAGAGAATATTGTGTTTAATTGGATAGGGATCGCCATCTACTGAAGCTGTTAAAGAAAGCTGGCCCATTAGGAATGAGTAATAACTGAGAAAACTTCCTACAATGTTACATGTTAAAAGATATAAGATTGATGTGTTTTTTGTTTTTTTTATCTTTTGAATTATTGTTCAAAGACAGACTTATTCACCATGATATTTATAGATACTGTAAAATCATGGATTTTCAAGGTTCACTTATTTTTGCTGAATTCATTCAAACTCTTAATCCACAAATTCATATGTCAATGAACTGTTAAATTTCTAAAAAGTTTATTTATTATGCTACATTTCACCACAATATAATTACATTCTTAAAGGCCCATCAACACATTAAAGGTCATTATGGACGATTTCACCACAAAACATTAAGTAATATTTTTTGAAAAATACAAGAAAATTGAACACCACGAAAATATCTGCTTTTACAGTATATTTAAGATAAATCACAAATGTTGTGATCAGTATTTTTTTCTCCAGATTTACATTTTCCTCTAAAAATTGTAATGAAAAAAAATATAATGGTCTCCTGATTGATATGTCATACATTGAACATATTTCTCTGGTATGGCAGAATACATCTTTATTTTTCTTTCATTCTTTGCACTCATGAAAACATAAGTATTCTATTATATTAATTTATGTATATACATTTTGTAGGTATATATGTACTAGTTCTGAAAAGGAGACACATGACAGTAATTGTACATGCAATCTTAGTCCATAAAACTCCCAAATGTTAAATCATTAAACTTACCATAGTTTCAGTTTTTGAAAACATTCAGTGCATGACCTGGTGCTAGGTACAACAAAACAATCCTACATAGACATTGTAATACAAATATCTTTTTATGTTCTACTTTTTGAACTAGTTGAAGGAAAGAGGTCTTGAAATGAGTTGTTCAGGTAGTATAATACCCTAGTGATCGAGGAGCTGTTTGTCAAACATGTGTGATATCTCCATCACACATGGTAAGCGGTAAATAAAGTTCAATTTAGTTAGTGTGATGTTTATACTGCCACTATAGAACTGATAAAACTTTATTTTATGGGGTTGTACAAGTCTTGAACTATTCAATTCTTATCATGATAGGACTGCCCTCTAACAGCTAACAGCCAAATACAACACTTACACCTGTTTTTGGCACTATTTAACACTGAAATAGACCTAATAAACACTGGTATTGATTGTTTTGTATTGTAATTTGTATATATATATTTTATGTTCAAGTGGAAAATCAATGGACCAGTTATCTTTGCTCCAATTTGCCAATGTTTTGCGTTTGGATTCACCAAGAATTCTTTTTAAGTTGACTGCAGTTCACTTGTGTGATTTTATTGTCAGTGAATGTACATGGACCCTCCTCTCAAACAATAAGTACAGACAAACACTATTATAACCCACCAAGGTATTGCCATAAATCCCAAGTGCATCACATCAAAGTGTAAACTTTGTCATAAATGTGATGTTATGACTAGTCTGTACTTGTGTTATCATATGGACATGCTGTAAAATTATGAAAAGTGAACAGGTGGTCTCTAGAGACAAGCTATCATTGACTGATACTGGAGGGGTATCATGTAAAAGGAGCAGTCTCATAGATCACACCCCATCAGCTCAGCTAGTAGAGCCATAGCTCATCATGCTGTGGACCGGTGTTCAATTCCTGTTGGGGCACTTAGCATGAATGTGTTTTCCTCACTTCTGTTACAATAATACTGTTTACATATCTAATGTTAAGTGCATTAGTGATATAAGGCTATAGTCTTCCATGAAATTAGGTCTCTCAGGGTAATGGTTTAAGCAACAGGTGGTGTTTTAAGGCAGTTAGTTTGCCACAGCATGTGTTCATGAAGGACAATTACTGAGTTGTAATGTAATTATTATAACAGTTGGGTCTCTAAGATCAGGTATTGTCATACATTATGTGGTCTCAAGGCAATTGTTTTCATGCATCATAGTGGCTCTCAAGTTAATTGTTGTCTAGCAATATATGGTTTCTCAAGACAAATGTTGTCTAGCAACATATGGTTTCTCACGGCCATTGTTGTCTAGTAAAATGTGGTCTCTCAAGTCAGCTGTTATCTATCAAGCTATGGTATCTGAAGTCAATTGCTGTAGCAACATACAATCTCTCATGACAATGTATGTAGGCTAGCAAGCTATGGTCTCTCATGTAATTGTTTTTCATTTCAGTAATAATTACCATAACTTTAGTATGCAAATACAGTACCTACACCCATCTTTGTATCCCAACAACAAAAGATTCAAAATAAAAACAATCCCGCCCTCCCTACGATCCATGAGCCATCACGGCAGGAACGCAGAGTGATCTCCCTTCCTCTTACCTTTATGGCTGCCGACGAGTGCGGAGGTGTCTGAGCTAAGTGCTTTTCTTACTCCTTCTCTTCGTACTGCCATTGTCGTTTGAGTATATTGTTACTCTATTAGTAGTCTATAAACCCATCTCCCAACGTATATTGTGAAATTAAGTATTGTCATTTGTTTATTTTGACGGTATTTCCGGCCGTTTTTTCCTCCACATATTCGAGTGCGTGACTACTTGTCTCGTTGCTCGGATTTGCGTGAAGCTGGAATTTGTTTTCTTGCTGCTTTTTCGGCCGTTTTGTACGACCGTTTTATTTATGCAGTGCAATCTTGCTGCGTACGGTAGGCTTTGTGCTCTCGTTCGTAGTTTTTTGATTGTTCGAGAACTTCGTTTCCGGCCATGTTTTTCCTCCGCATGTTCGAGTGCGTCTCATCACTCGGATTTTCGTGAAGTTGAAATTGTTTTCTTGCTGCTTTGTCGGCCGTTTTATACGACCGTTTTCTTTTTTTTTGCAGTACAATCTTGCTGCGTACGGTAGGCTTTATGCTCTCGTTCATAGTTTTTTGATTGTTAAAAAACTTTTTGTCCTTGTTTTCATTGTTACAATTTTTCATTGTTTCGATGATGGATAATAGTGCCAGGTTTACGTCGGGGGTCAGCGCATGATGTTCCTATTTCTAAAGATAATGGGAACCCCATGATACCTGTCCCTTTTGCCGACCTTGCAGCCAGACCTCGCGATGTGAACTTTGTTTGCACATGGAGTTTGCTGCTTAGGCTCCCATGCCTTTCCAGCTAACTTTCCGCCGGAAGAGGGATTCGTCCTCTTCTTCCGGTAAGGGAAGTAAGCTTTTTAAGACCTCCTTAGGTTCTGAACCAGTAGGTTTTTTGGGCGTTCCTGCTGGGGGTGCTCTCGTTCCACTGAGCTCTGCCCTTCAGCAGGGGGTGGCTCCCCATGTCCAGGTGCGTCCTGGAGTAGGGGGGGGGGGGGGCAGCCCGACCCTGACTCGGCGCAGTCAAGGGTCGAATTGGCCGGTAGCTCTCAATAGCCGGGACTTCCGGTCGAGGTCTCTGATTCCTTCAGGGACCTCGGCGCCAGGTGGCGTGGTTGGTGGGGGCCGCTTTGACTCCGGAACTGTGCCTTCGGGTACAGGGTCAGGGGCCACAGACTTTTTGTCAGGATTGTCTGTGGCTATGGGGATTAGTGACACTTGAGTTCACTAATCCTGGTGTCAGCTCGGGGTTTGTTTTCCCACCCTCACAGGCTTCTGGCTCTGGCACTTTCCGTCCCAGTCCAGATTTCCCTGTGCAGGGTTTCCCAGGGGGTTTTTCCCAAGGGTTTGGGGCTTCAGGCCAGGGGTCCGGTTTCCGGTCTCCCTTTCCCCCGGGCTCAGGGAGCAGGGGTGCCTGCGGGCACTTATTCCTGGGTCGCCCAGGCCAACCTGCGGATGGTTTTGGGTACCAACAGTTACTCAGCAGTTACAGTCTTAGCCCGTACATGTCTGGGTTTCCACCTGGTGGGAGTGGCGGTTCATCCTGGTCCTTTGGACAGGGTGTCCAGCCCCAGACTCAGGCAGGCCATCTTGGCCAGTTCTGGGGTCACTCCCGGCCCGCTGGACCATTCCCATTCCCTCAGGGGTTTGGGTTTTACCCCATGGATCTTCACTTGTGGAACCCATAGGGGTTGGTCTCTCCTCTAGGAGATGTTATAGCAGTGCGGAATCCCCCCAATGTTCTGCTACTTCAGGGGCCTTGTTGGCCAGTCCTATAAAGGTTTGCCAGACCTTAAGGACTTCCGCCTGCAGCCCGGACCCGTCGGTCTCCTGTTCCCAGGGGTCGGCTTCGGGTCTCCGACCCAAGCCTACAGCTACGGCTGTTGGTTGCGATGCGCCTAAACGCCATATAGAGGAGTTCCCCTCTCTGGAGATGGCTCCTCTGGCGGCCCCTGTTCCTCCCAAGGGGACTTCGGTCTCTATTGAGGAGGAGATGGACATAGAGGGTGCGGGCTCGGCAGAGGAAGACGATGTCATTCATCTTTCTCCTGGGCCAAGAGGATTCACAAGGGGAAGATTGCCCTGAGACTGCTGAAACCGAGGCTCAGCATGTGCTTTCGGGGATGCGGGTCCTCTGGGCCAACATCTCCCGGATTCTCTGGGCGGAGGTTTGCCCACCGCCTCAGCATCGTCGGCGCCTGAATCCACCATCCTTCTTTGTTCCCTGGTGGCTCCTCCTCAGGCTTCCGTTCGCTCAGATCGGTCTCTGCCAGAAGGCAATATCATGTCTTCGGTTCTGGCCACGGCCCGGGCTCCGGTTTTAGAGTAGGACTCCTTCTCTACCCGCGCTCCCGGGTTTGTCGGTCTGCAGCTCAGTGTTGGTGAATTGTCGGAGGCTTCAGCTTCCGACTATGCCACAC